GAAGCTTGTCCATTTGATTTCACAAATGTAATAAATTTAATCAACTATGTAATAAAGCTTGCTCACAAAATTTATTATAGAAATAAATCTATTTTTTTAATCCTAAAAACATCTCATTATTTTGGGTATTTCTTGCATATTTGACCAGAAACAAAGATACTTTTCCCCCTCGTGGCTTAGGAATCATATCATTCAGATGAACATGCAGACATGCAAAGAGAAAATTATGTTATCTTGTGAGTCCTATAACTATGCAATCTGGAATTCTTCCACCTTCTCAACTAACCCCACTTTACCCCAGCTTTACTCTCACAATTGCTTTGACMTGAATTGCTTGTCCTTTAGCAAGGGAGAGGTAAAGTTGTTTTGTACCTACCTCCATTTCCCCTTAAGTGGGCTCTATAACATGTCCATGGTGTTCTTAGAAGAAAAAGTTCAGATGCTGTGCCTGAGTCATTATTAATTTGAAATGTTTCCTAATATATCACCAACTTTGTTAGAAAATATTGAAAGCACATTATGCAGTGTCCAAGTGGAACAAATGGCTGGAAAACTCACAATATTGTCGTGATCCTCATTAGCTSGGTCAATCAGAAACAAGCAGAAAAAGTCAAATTCAGCACTACTGGTAAAATTAGCAGAATAAAACTCTGAACTACAACACATTGTACATTAAAGCATACATGCTAGTTTATCCCTTTTTCTAGAACAGATTAATTCATGAAAAAGTGGGAAAAACTTTTGTGACCCAAATTCTAAAAACTTTATCTCATTTTTGCATATTGCCTTTGTAAGAGAGAAAAGATTGCTTTCCTCATCTATCGTTAGTTTTATGACTGAGACTCATATAACAAAAGAACAGATTAACAAGAGAAAAGTATACATCTATACTTTAAAATTAAGTGRCATGGGAGATTTCAGAATTGAAGACCCAAAGACAGAGCCAAGTGTGTTTTTTTTTAATGAATAATTTGTGCAGAAATACAATTGCACAAAGTGGTATATGATCTAATAGCAATAAACTGAGGTAGGGGGCTTAGCAAAGTCTGTTTGGTTTCTTTCCTATGGGACATTTCTTTAATCTGGTTGTTGAGAGGACCTCTGGGACCCCTCTGGAATGAGAGTTTATGACCTACTTTGGGAGAAGGACAGCTTGATTTATGTGTGTGTGTATGTGTTTGTGTGTGTGTGTGTGTGTGTGTGTGTGTATCAGTCTGCTTTAGAAGAGGAAGGGCAGAGGAGGCCGAGATCTGCTCTTTTCTCACACACCAAGGTGTTATATTTTGGAGTAGCATGTCCAAACCCAGATAGTACACATTTCAGAAGCATTTAAATGTGTGCTTTCTCAGGAAACCTCTCTCAGTAATCCTGTTTGTTCCTAAAATGATGGGAAACTGTGGCATGCAAGTCATTTGTCCTACACACAGAAAGTAGAACAGAGGCYCCAGACCAGGACTACAGAATTGACTTAACAGAAAATACTTGCCTCCTGGTTTGAAGAAAACAAATCCTTTGAATTAGAATCATACTTTAATCTTAAGTGTTTAAGAAAATCTGAATTTTTATGTTAGATTTATTTAAAATAGGATGCACCTCCAGGTATCAAATGTTTTAGTTTGCTTTCTTGTTTCTATTTTTAGAGGAGGACATGGCTGAATTATATGTTCAACAGTCATTTATTTTATTCTCCAACTGAACAGAAAATAATGATTTCCCTTACAGAGATTAGATTTTATCCTGATTAATCTTTTTGAAAAAAAAATTCTACCCACTAAAATTTCTTTAAAATCTTAGAACACTTGCTGATTCACCTTTATCTACCATACTGATCTCAAATACATGACTAAGCAAATTAATCTGCATTATTTGTCATTTGAGATTAGCCTTTTAACAAAGAAACCATCTATGGTACAAACATGAATGTGGAATATCAGAAATCACATCTTTTCTTGTATGTGTATTCCACAGGAAAGTCCMTGGTTTAAAAATCCAATCTTATTATTTTTCCTCTGTTACTGACTACCTTGTTATTTTGGGAACCATTAAACTGATCTCAGTTTATTCACCTGACAATGGAAGGAGAAGCTTCCTTATAAGCACTACAGCAAATAAAGAATGAATRTTTACATAATATTTGTAACTGTTCAGATGGAGGTGCTAGAGGAAAGAGGGAAGGATTGGATTTTGTTCTCATATCAAAACTCTGATAATAATCCCCCAGGGTTTTGGCAAATGACAGTTTCAGAATGGGCACCTTGCAGCCAAGCAGCAGAGTGGAAAAGAGGAACCCTGACTTTGAACCAATTTGCAATAACTGATTTTGCAAGTCCTTTAAGTTTCCCTGTTTACAAATGGGGATGGTAATAGTTGGCTCTGCATCCACAGCATATTGTAAAGAAACATGAAATAATTTTAGCTCCTTAAAAGTAATATTGAAAGGCAGAAATTTGCATAAGTTGCTTTAGAAAGCCTAAAAAACTGCAGCAACAATGTGAATGTCTAACATGAGTTAAACATTTTGCTTGAACAAACTGATTTTAAAACTCATAGATGAAGCAGCTTTTTGGGAGGTTGAGACCAGAGGATCACTTGAGTCTCAGAGTTGAAGATCAGATTGGACAGTACTGGGAAACCCTGTCTTACACACACAGATCTTTTCAGTAGCCCTCATTAACTGTTCCTGAATAGCTGCCTACTTTTGAAAGTAGGGTAAGGGTAATACTGCAGGTACTGACAGGCTAGAGAGGCCCTGTTTGCAGAAATTTTCTTGGATTGCTAAAATTGCACGCTTTGATCATCTGCCATTTTATTATAGTGGAACAGCAATTAATGATTCTAGCTACCATCCATGTATGACAATTAGTATCTTTCCATTCTAAATTGTCCTTTCATATATTCTGTTATACAGTCAAAATTTTGAACATGGATAATCCTTAATTACTGTATTATTGTATTGCTTGGGATTGAACCCAGGGCCCTACACATGTGCTCTACCACTGAGCTACGTCCCCAGCTTCTTAATTACCTTTTATAAAAGACAGTAAATTTTGTTTCTTAAGGATTGGCTTACTAATAATTTGCTGCCTGCTCACAGCCTCTTGTAGTAAATTGGCTGTTTTCTTGGAGGTAGGGTGAGTTTGAGCATCTCCAGGACCCACCCTCCCTTTTCCTTGTGGGTCCTGCACCCTTTTCAGGTTAGAACCTCTGTGTTCCCTGTAATAGTCCTTCTAACCTCCTTTCCCTGGCCCACTGCCTGGTGGGGGAAGGTAAGTGAGGGCTAGTTAGCCTAGGCAGGAGGCAGGCCTCTCCTGAGTTATAGAGATTCCTTTCCCTCATTTGAGGTCCAGGTCATACAGCTTACAAACTAAGARGCCACCTGACCTTTTGTCAGGCCATGTGGAGAAATCAGGCCCTTATAAATGAGATGCCTGGCTTACCTCAACCTCTCTCATCTTTAGGGTGACAGTTACAAGCCAGAAGCTGCCTCCCCCAGGACCCCGTGAGGCATGAAAATTGTTTACTGGCCAGATTGTTTGGCTTCAGGAAATAAGGACACAAGAATAAATTTGGGATGGATTCAGATTTTTTAAGCTCTATGGCAACAACAATCTTCATTCCCCCTCCCCCTCTGAATAACTTTGAATATATTGTCAGTCCTTGAAATTTTAACTTTTTAACAATTTGTTGGAACAATTGGGTTGGAAAGGGACTTCCTGTGGGTTTTTTTTTTTTTCTTCTCAGCATCTTTCATGAGTCTCTGAAGTCATTGAAGAGTTAAGTATTTTTTTATCCCCTTAGATTTCTAAAAGAATACTACATAACAGGGGGAAAAATGGTTAAAATTAGAAAACCAAAGGCTAGGATTGTGGCTCAGCAGTAGAGCACTTACCTAACACGAGTGAGGCCCTGGGTTCGTTAGATCCTCAGCACCCCTTATAAATAAATAAAATAAAGGTATTGTGTCTACCTACACCTAAAAAAATATTTTTTTAAAAAACTTAGAGAACCAGAAATTATCTAGGTTTTATAGAGCTTTGACTACTTGGTTAGTTTTGGTTTTTTTAGCAAGTCATAAGAGATTACAAAAAAAAAAAAAAAAAAAAAAGGCTGAGAGAAGGATAAAGCGGTAGAAGAGGGACACAATACTGTCTGTCTTCTACCCCCCACGTCCCTCAAAGAGAAGTATTTTCAGAGGTATGAGACATGCATCAATTGAGAATCCCTGTGGGTTCCCGAGCTGAGCACAAAGGGTTTCCTCCCACTCAGTGACTGCAGGAGAGTTGGCTGGCTCTTAGACCACCAAACAAAGGAGGAAGCCAGGTGATTCCACAAAAGCAGCCTCTCAGGAGAGAGGTTGCTTTCCTCTACTGCCTAACTCTCACATTGCCAAGCACCTTCACCCCAGCCTGGCCTTCAGTTGATCCTGTTTTCTTTGACTACACAGACCCACCTTGTTGTTTATACAAGCTGTCTTATCTAGTAGTGTTGAGTCACCATTATATTTATTGCCTACACCTACTTACTATAAAAAGTTTCTGACTTCCTGCAGTGCTAACAGAATTCTCCCCTAACTTGAGAAACCAGAGGTTGAAGAACAGACCATCTGAACCAATGTGTGATTCTCAAATTCTTCAGCGTTGTAACAACCAGTTTTGGATTTCTATGATCTCCTCTTCCTCCTCTTCCTGTCTTTTAAATGTTTGCCTTATATGGTACCAGGATTGAAGCCAAGGCCCCAGGCATGCTAGGCAAGCGATCTACCCCTAGGCTACATCCCCAGCCCTCCTTTTTTTCTTTTTTTAAATTTGACTTTCATTTAAAAATAYAATGTTTTGATAACCTTTGGTCATTTGCCGCTTTCCCGGGTGGTGTTAAACCAGCATTTAAAATATTAATATAAATTTAATGTTTGTAATTGGCCTTAATGACTTAAATTTTAAAATGTAATATACAGCCTATAAGTATTGATATTCTTTATTTTAATATTTGCTTGATTGCAGGAAATCTTCACCGAACCAGCAGTGTTCCTGAGTATGTCTACAACCTTCACCTGGTTGAAAATGATTTTGTCGGAGGCCGTTCCCCTGTCACTCAGACCTATGATGTATTAAAGGTAGGGTATCAAAGAATGTTGATAGTTGTCAAATTGCTGGGAAAACATTTTCAAACATTTTTAGATTGTTGCTTTTGAGGTTTACCTCTCTAAAGTATTATTTCCTGAATACCAATTTTGAGAAAATTGACTTATGGGGACACCCTGGGAACCTGGGGATTTTAAACAGTATGAAATCCTAACGCAAGTAAAAATGACTCAAGTCAACCAAGTCTTATTTWAAAAAAAAAAAAGACRTCATYCAGAAAGGGGCCAACTTCTCCATTGTGAAAAACTGACATTTTGAGGAATAATCCACAGTAATTAGTCTTAAGCAAAGACAAAAACAGATTTATGCTTCATTGAAGTTTTATTTTTCTCTCATGCAGGCTGGCACAACTGCCACTTACGGGGGTCGTTGGGGGCGAGGAACGGCACAGTACAGCTCCCAGAAGTCAGTGGAAGAAAGATCCTTGAGGCAGCCTCTGAGGAGACTGGAGATCTCTCCAGACAGCAGCCCTGAGAGGTTTCATTACGCTCACAGCGATTACCATTACAGCCACAGAACCCAGCCTGGGCACACACTGCGCCACCAAGACAGCAGGCGCTCCACCCTCCTCATGCCACCCAGATATGCCCGCTCGGAAATCGTGGGGTTCAACCATGTTGTGAGCAGACAGCGCCACTATGACACTTACCACAGACAACACCAGTATGGGTCTGTTAGTGACACCGTCTTTGACAGTGTCCCTGTCAACCCTTCGGTGCTCACCTACCCCAGGCCGGGGACCAGTCACAGTATGGGCAACCTCTTGGAGAAGGAAAACTACCTGAATTCAGGGCAGATGAGGCCTCTGGTGCCCCTGCAGCCTGTCACTCAGAACAGAGCTGCCAGGTCTTCCTGGCACCAGAGCTCCTTCCACAGCACCCGCACGCTGAGGGAAGCCGGGCCCAGTGTCACYGTGGACTCTGGTGGGAGAAGGACGCACTTGACCGTGGGCCAGGTGGCAGCAGCAGGAAGTGGGAATGTGCTCGTGGAGAGAAGCACTGTCGTCGACTCCCAGCTTGGGTGAGTCTTCTGAATCTACCACTCAGTCGGTGCCAGCACATTCTGTTCCCACAGCCCTGACAGTGTGAGCTGGCACTTCTAGGGCTGGAGAGAAAGGCTGACAGAGATAAGTGATTAAAATAATGACTTTTCGGGCAGCTGCCTAATTGACAGATCAGCCTGTTTACCTCAGGAACAGGGGCCAAGCTACCTGCTCACATGACAGCTTTGTGCAAAAATGTGACGTTTAGCCCATCTGTTCCAGATTAGATGCTGGCTAAAGGGATCGCTGCTCCTTGGCTATGTGAAAATCTGCTCTTATCAAGAGCAAACTCCAGCATAGACCAAAAAATGGATAATGTTATATGCATTTTTTTCAATCAGTCCTGGAAATAAAGGAAAGAAAAGGCACAAATGCTTACTTCTGGTGCTGAGTGTGTGCCTCAAGTGCTATTTGCATGATTATTAGTGTAAAAGGACTCCGAGAGCTAAGGAGAGGCAGTTGATTTCTAGATGTCTCTTTCTTTCCTTTGATACTTGATACCTTTACTTTTGATTTCAGTACTATGGATTTGGAGGGTTTTTTTTGCAAAACTAAATAATCAAAATATTGAATTTTCAAAGTCATTCCTTTACCTTTCCTATTTATGTTATGGTTTGACTAATTTGGATCTTAACCCTTATTTAAATTTAATGCTCAAGTACAAATTGGGTAAACTGAGGAAGTTACTAAAAGAATGTTTGTAAATGGATCAATGATGAAATCAGTAACTCCTGAAATAATGATTTGGAATCATTAAGGCAAAATATTATCTGATTGTTTGATTTTAAAATTGCTTATTGATAGTCATTTCTTAAATGAAAATGTGTAGTGTACCTATTGATTAGGCAAGCTATGGTGATAAATTACTTTTGAAAAAGGTGTTAGGTGTTGAAGCAAGAAACACTTTTCATAAATCAAATGTTTGTATGAAACTTCTAACATTTCTGGTAGGAAGCAGATCTTTGTCAATATGAACACATTTCTAGAGAAGGAAAAATACATCAGGGAATTATTTATGGAGGAAAATACTGATAAGGACTTTTAAATGGTAATTTAGAATTTATTAAATGTCTACTACAGCCTAGGATTTGTGATAAGCACCATTTTTAGCAAAATCATTTTAACAATAGCAAAGCTATCATCCCACTTCTCAAACTCTGTGCCCTCAGACATTCTAAACCAGCCCGTCACTTCTCAGACTCAWCAACCCTCTGCAATATGGCTTCTGTCCCCACCACCTCACAGGAACATTCTCCTGACAAATGTAGCGGTGACTGCTTTTTAGCTACATCCTAAACAGACACGCATTCAGTCTTTTATGTCACCGTGACACACTTCTGCAGCCTTCTTAATCTTCTAAAAGTGCTTCTTTTTTTCAGGCCCAAAGAAGTCATCTTCAGTAACCCTTCTCTCTGGGCCTTGGTGCTTTTCCCGGGAGGCCCTGGTATCTCACTGGTGTCCTCCTGATTCCAAAAGTTTTATCTTCAATCTTTTACCCTGTAGACCTTTATGTAGATTTAATAAATTCCTGGACATCCCCAATTCAGCATATCCTAAACTAAATTCGCTAGCTCCTCTAGGCCTTATGTGCCTAGGCATTTCTTCCTACTGAGCTCTTTAAGCTACAAACCTGGAGGTCATTCTTATCATCTCTCTCCATAGTCATCTATCACCAARCCATATTTTAACCTCTTTAATTGGTCTTACATTTTCATCATTTTCTCCATCTCCATTGCACAGGTCTCTCTGCCGCTGGTCTTGCTCAGAACTGTTGTCTAGGACTGTCAAAATGATCTTCCCACACCTGATTGTTTCTTTCCTTGGTTTACCACCTTTGCATAATTCCACTGAGTAGTCAAGCTTTTTAGCATGGCATACAAAACCCASGGTGTTTTCATCTCTGCTTCTCACTCCAGTCTCTTCTCTTTGTACTCTCCTCCACTCTTCATGACTGCCGTCCTCAAACACACCCATGCTTAAACCATTTGCAACCTCCTGCTATTTTCCTTAATGTAAGATATTTGTGCATTCACTCTCATTTGATCTCTCTCTCCCTTCTTCCTCCTCCCCTTCCCCCACATCACCCTCCCCCACTTTCTTCCCCACTTCAGCCCTTCACATGCAGCTTTGTTTTTGTATGGCTGCTCATAATTCTGGATTTAACTGCAACATCACCATTTTCCTGGCCATTCCCTTCCCAATCTAGCTTATGTGCCCCAGATAGCAACATTGATGTCTCTATCAGAGTAACTCTTGTGGTTATTCATTTACTTATCTGTTATCTCTCTAGACTTTGAGYTTCTTACCAATGGCTCATTCATCTTTATGTTCTCAGCACCCCTAAAACAGAGGCCATTCCATGATGGTTCTATACAGAAATTAAAAGGAAAAAATTAAAAGGAAAAAATACAAACTCTTTACTTTTTGACATCTAGCACTTTTGTTGCTCAAATTCTTGTTTTAATGTCCAGGGTAATTCATTATAATATTTAATGATATTTCAAAGAATAGAAGGAACACTAGAGGTCAAGAAATTTAAAATAAAGGGTGGGGAGCTGGGCACAGTGGTACACACCTGTAATCCTAGTGACTTGGGATGCTGAGGCAGGAGGATCATGAGTTCAAATTGAGCCTTAGCAATTTAGCAAGTCCCAAGCAACTCAGTGAGACCCTGTCTCTAATAAAATATATACAAGGGCTGGGGATATGACTCAGTGGTTAATCACCCATGGGTTCATCCCTGGTACTAAATAAATAAATAAATAAATAAATAAATAAATAAGGGTGGGCTGGTATGTGGCTCAGTGGTAGAACACTTGCCTATCTTGCGTAAGGCCATGAGTTAAAAGCCCCAGCACCCCTCCCCTGCCCCCAAATTTAAAGAGTAAGGAATGTTTTCCTGAGATAAATAAATAAATAAATAAGGGTGGGCTGGTATGTGGCTCAGTGGTAGAACACTTGCCTATCTTGCGTAAGGCCATGAGTTAAAAGCCCCAGCACCCCTCCCCTGCCCCCAAATTTAAAGAGTAAGGAATGTTTTCCTGAGATTCTCCAAGTTCTAGAGACCGAACCGTAGATACTAACCCTTTTCTCTGATTTCTGAAGGGAAATTTTTGCTTTCTATGGAGATGAGAGGGAGCCAGAGATATTTTCTATTATGAAGAAAAATGATGATTGAGGCAGAGTCTGGCCTGCCTTTCTTATGCTTCTGGTGTGCTCCCTCTCCTATCAGTTCCCCAGGCTGCACCCTGAGGCACTCTGGGCTGTCCTTGCCTGCACTGTCTCACCTTTCAAACTATTCAGTTCCATTAAAAAAAAATTCTTTTTTATTCTTACCCAAATTCTTATATGTAAAGGAGTATTCTTTCATACATGTGGAACATTCCTATGAAGTAGCTAGATTCAACCATAAACCTACCTAATGACATAAGGTAGCAAACCATGGATTCGTCATTCCAAAAGAATGGCCGATCAGTTACTAATATGGCTGAAAACTGAGACCTGAGTAAAACTGAAATAGTCATCACTTGTTCTAAATCAGACCAATGAGAAAGGTTTAAAAGAATCACCAAGTAGAAAGTTCCAGATGAATTTTTCTAAAAATATGATTTCTGAACCTCTTGGATTCATAACAAATGTTAGGTTCTTCCAGTTTGCCCAGCATTTCCCTCAGCATCATAAATATAAAAATTGAGTGGTTTATATGAAGGTCTAGGGAAAAGAAAGTAGGGCATGTGCAAGGCCATGAGGTACATGCTGGTGCCTGCAGGGCTTCAGAGCGCACTGCTCTGTTGAGGAGACTAGGAGAGAGCAGGGAGCTTCAGTAGGATCACCAGCAAGTTTGTGACCTAGAGCAAGTTAAAGCAGAAAACAGGTCAYATGGACTCTCCTCTACATCCTCTGAATCACTAGTTGCTTTAGTTCTTTGATTTTTCAGGTCTCTTCCAACTGYATCATTGTTTACATTTCCATTTTAATAACCCAGTTTAAGGCTTCATCATCCCAGCTAAGACTCTTGCAGGGCCCTTAAAACCGTCTCTTTGTTTCTGTAAACACATGTCCACATGTCTCCTCCAGAATTATCTTTCCAAAGCAGCACCTTCATCACTCTTTTGGAGGTAGGAGAATTCACATTTTACAAAGTATCAAGCAACAACACTTCAGTGAGCTATCCATTCTTTTTGTTGTTTGTTACTGGGGATTAAACTCAGGGGCACTTTACCACTGAACCACATCCCCAACTCATTTTCTTTTTTATTTTGATACAGGGTCTCACTAAGTTGCTAAGGGCCTTGCTAATTGTTAAGGCTTGCCTCAAACTTGCAATCCTGCTGCTTCAGCCTCCTGAGCCACTGGGATTACAAGTAATGCACCACCACACCCAGCATTAGCTGTCCATTCCTTAGCTGATATTTGCTCGACCTTCAGAAAATATAGCCATATTCTGATGTCAGAAGATCCAGTCTAGGACAGGGCTTTGTTATTAGCAGAAGTCCTGGTTACTGGGAGATGGTACTCACAAAAAAAAAAAAAAAAAAAATTACTCTTTTTTCCCCCTGTGACATCTCACATTTGAGCCAGTGGTATTTCACATACCTTTTTACATGTTTTTACTTATACTGACCTCATCTTAAATTTTCTTTTGTTGTTTTGTTTTGTTTTTGTTTTTGTGGTGCTGAGGATTGACCCCAGTGCTAGACAAGTATCCTACTTCTAACCTCCACCTCCCCGGCCCCTTTATTCTGATATCGTGTTAACATTTGAACTAAAGCTGTTGAAAAGACTCATCTACAGTCTGGTAGTTCAGGGGACATGGGGCCAGAGAATAACTGCTGTTCCTGATCCCCACCTGCCACCCCAACCTCATCTTCTAAGCCACATTTCTGCTGGCTTCAAGAAGTGTTCTTTAGTGAATGGGAAGGAATAAAGAAAGGAAAGTAGAAAAGGAAGGAAAGAAGAAAGGAGTCAAGAGAGAAAGAAATGCAGTGGAGGAATGCTGCAGGAGAAGAAAGAACAGCTCCAGCGGGTAGAGGCACAGAAAAGATTTTACCAAAGCAATAGTATCTCATTCCAGTCTTGAGTAATGGATAACAATGAAATAGAAGCATGCGCTTCCTAGAAAAATCAAAGAAGGCACCTTGTGAAGAAGGTTGCATTGTTTAGAGAAAGATGAAAAGTCTGGTGTGAYTGAGGGTGGGGTAGGAGATCAAAGGAGGAGTAAGAAAGAGGGGAGAGATGCAGGAAATGGAGCCAGACTGGGCTCAGAATGTGTGCCTTTCACAGAGTTGGACTTTATGGACAATAATAACACAGAAAATGGACACACCAGTAGCTGTAGAAAAACCTTACTGAGTAAGCCTTCATTTAGTTAGGAATTGTTTTTAGTGACAAAGTGAACTGGCRTTGGGTCAACTGGGAATGAATGTGGAGCTTCTTCATGAATTATGTTCAGGAATATAAAGGATTAGAGTAATGGAATTATTTGTGGGGGTTGAAGATGGGAGAATCAAACTTTCCTTGGATCCTTTATGGCTTTATAAGATTGATTAATGGCTGAATCTTAAAAAAAAAAAAAAAAAGGCTGTATTAAACAGAAGGCTATTCTCACGGTATGAAGGATCTTTCATTAGGTAAACACCTGGAATCCTGGATGATAAATGCTTGCGGTTACCATTGAGATTGAGACTTTTTAGAGTTATGATTTCTCTGAAAAGCCATTCAAGTCCACAAAGTATTTCCATTTCTTTTAAAACGTGTTTATTTTAAATAAAAATGATTTAACTTCTAGTTTTGCATAATAGCCTGCATTCTTTTTACCAATTAAAATTAACTCCTGAGGCACAACATTCTCAAATATGACATCATTATATAATTCTCAGTATAGATGCCAGAAATGTTCCACTTTTAATACCCTTCTGCTCATGAGGTAACACTTCTGTGTTCGAACATGTGTGTCAGGAGCAGCAGGTTTACTTTTCAGTCTTGAAGCCCATTACTTCTTTCCCCCCTCAAGCACACCATACCCACCCCACAAAAATACACCAYTCACAACACTGTACCCACTCACTTCTGTGCATGTGGGTAGGTATTAGAGGGGCAGCCTAATGGCAAAGAGAATTTACTCAGGGTGTTTGCTTGTCAGCAGAGAGTGGAAAGCACCCTCTCCAGGTTTCTTTGGTGTTCTCATTACCTAACATTCAAGCTGATAATAGACTAAGCTAGTCACCCTCCAGGCAGAAATAAAAAAGGAGAAAAAACATAGTGCTATGAGGCTTTGGGGAGTTATGATTTTATAAGTAGCAATTTTAGGTGTCCTCTCTCAGTGAGTTTCTCTGTGTCAAACTACTTTAGGCTTCATCATTATTGGCAACTAGTAAAGGACAAAAGTAAGCCACTGGGACAGGCACAAACTGAATGTCATTTCAGTGGCAAATGGTAACAGAATGAATATTTTTTTAAGAAAAAAAGGTATCTATCATTGCATTTAATGATTACCTTTCTTGATGTATTCTATCACACCAGCACGACTTATTTTAACAAAATAAAATCCAGTGTGTTTGTTTTGTTTGGGTTTGAGTTTTGGTTTTGATTTAGTTTGGTTTTTGGTTTTGGGGKTTTTTTTTGGCTGTACTGGGGATTGAACTCAGGATRCTCTATAACTGTGSTGCATTRCCAACCTTTTTTACTTTTTATTTAGAGACAGGGTCTTGCTAAGTGTCCCAGGCAGACCTCCAACTTGTGATCCTCCTGCCTTGGCCTCCCAAGTTACTGGGATTACAGGCATGTACCATCATACCCAGCCAGAACTCCATTTTTCAGGCTTCCACTGTTTCCATACTATTATATGCATTTTATATATGCTTCTATTTCTAATTTATTTTGAGGCGAAATAACAGATTCTGAGCAGTTTGAGAAAGGAGATGTTTCTRCCATAGGTGAGCCATTACCAGAATAGAAATAATTTTTTTATTTCTTTGAACAAATTTCTTTTAGATTCCATCTAAACARTCTTAACTGGGTCATTAAAGTCACTTTGCAGGTATAATTTTCATACTATACATACTTAAAAGTGCCATTTCTTTGGTACATGTTATGAATCTCTTCAACAACATCTTCAGAGGCCAGTCTGAGTGGAGCGTAAGACTTCTGCCATTTGCATCCAATCTCAGGTGCTGATTTTTCTTTRTATGAAGGAAAGTCAAGGCTCAGATAGTTTAGGTGTTTCACAATATTCCCTGAATGCTCTCTGGAGGATCAGATTGRTAGGCAGGAGGGAGCCATTTAGAGCCTGGCTGAATCTGTGACTGTTTGTCTAGGAATGCAGACGTGGAGATGACCCTGGAACGAGCAGTAAGTATGCTTGATGCAGACCACACGCCGCCAKCCAGGATTTCTGCCGCAGCTACTTTCATACAGCATGAGTGCTTCCAGAAAGCTGAAGCACGGAAAAGGGTGCGTATCTTCGCAAGTTCTTTGCAAAACCAGCCCACCACCACATCTGTTATGATGACCCTGAATATYAAATATGGGTCATTATTTACATTTTTAAAAATTGTCATTGAGTTTTTTTTTTAATTTAAAAGGAAATATAGACTTATTACATACAATCCTTCTTGCAATTCAGAATCTTAGAAAGGAAGTCCCCCTACACAAGCCCTTCCCTTGGTCTGTGTGCCCAACCTCCCCATTTAGAACTGACCCCAGAGGCAATTGTTATTGACCAATGTATGTACTTTCAGATTTTTCAGAGAAAGAATGTATTCATTTTATGATATTGTTTTCTACACTTAAAAAACATATTAATACAAGTAGTATTTTGCAACTTTTTCATTAAGTTGTTTCATTAACATACTATAATAATTGATGAATAGTTTGTACATTTATTCTTTAACATTTCCAGAAATGTTATCATAGGACTGATCTCCAGAGTTGGAATCAATAGGTCATTATATATTTGTTTTGGAGGAGGAGGGTCATACCTTTTTGATTGAAAACAAAATTACACTGTATCTTAGAAGTCTTCAATATATGTTAGCCTTATCTCATTCTTTAAAACTGCTACATYGATTTCTGTTGTCTAAATGTACCAGCTTTTTTGGTTTCGTTTTTAACAGCTTTATTGAGATGCAGTTTAACAACATTTTGACATGTTTTTGCATTGTGAAGTGATTGTCATAATCAAGATCATGAACATATTCATTACCTCCAATATTTTCTTATATTTGTATGTAACCTGCATGTTCCATCCCTCTCCAATCAATTTCCACCTCTCTCAAGACAACCCCCCATACTATAGAGTGAATTTTCTAGAATTTGGTGTAAGTGGAATTATACAGCATGCATGCTCTTTTTCTGCATTATTTTACTTAGCTCAAGTGTTTTAAATTCATTCATGTGGTGTGTATCAAAAGTCTTGGCTATTAAAAGAAACTGCTTTGAACATATGTATAGATCTTCATGTAGACATATGCTTTCATTTCTCTTCATTGAATACCCAAGAGTAGGATCACTGGATGATACAGTATTGTAYGTTTGACTTTTTAAGAAACTGCCCAATTATTTTATTATTTTAAATGAATTTTTATGATTTTATTTAAATTTATAGTGGTATTTCACTGTGGTTTTAATATGCATTTCCCTAATCATTAGTGAAATTGAACATCTTTTCATGAGCTTACATAATTTTGTTTTGATATTGGTCTATAGTTTTTTGGGGTTAGTTTTTGTGTGTATTATGAGATTTAAACTGAAGTTTCTTTTTTGGCACATTCAATTTTTCAGGTGTTGTTTATTAAAAAGGCTTTCCTCTCACTAATAAATTGTCTTTCTACTTTTCTTGAGGAGAAATTGATCACATAGGTGAATGTATTTTTGGTGTGTGTTCTCTTCCACTGATCTATTTGTTCCTATTTATTCAAATGCCATACTATTCACACATCCCCCATATTGAATTTTGAATCCCAGGGTGCTCTACCACTGAACTATATCCCCAGCACTTTTTATTTAATTTTAAGTCAGGGCCTTGTTAAGTTGTCCAGGCTGGTCTCAAACTTGTGCTCCTTCTGCCTCAGCCTCCTGATTTACTGTGAACTACATGGTCTTGATTACTATAATTTTATAATAAGTCTTAAAATTAAGTAATATTAGTTCTCCAACTTTGCTCTCTTTCAGAGTTGTGTTGGCTATTCTAGGTCTTTGCAGTTATATTTGAATTTTCTAATCAGTTTGTCAATTTCTTTAAAAAAACAAAAACAAAAAAAAAACCTACTGGGATTTTGAGAATTCATTGAATCCGGAGACAGATCTGGGAAGAGTTGACATCTTAACAATGTTGAGTTTTCATGTAGAACACAATATATCTCACCATTTATTGAAGTCTTCCCAAATTTCTGTCAGCAGTGTTATATAGTTTTTACTCTAGAGGTCTTTCATATTTTTTTAAGATTTATCCTTAAGTTTATCATACTTCCAGATGCTTTCATAAGTTATATTTTTACTAAAATTTTTGATTATTCATTGCTAGTATATAAAATTGATATTTGTATATATTGATCTTGTAGCTTAAGATATTTCTACATTCAGTTATTAGCTCTGGTAGCATTTTTTAAGATTCCATCAGATTTTCTACATAGAAGATAATGCCATTTACAAGTATAGTTTCATTTCAATTTGGATGCTTTGTATTTCTTTCTKTTTTTTTTCTTCTTCCTTTTGTTTTCTTTGTTTCAGTACTAGAAACTGAAGCCAGGATCTCATATATGCTAGGCAAGTAAGTGCTCTATTAGCCCTTTTTATTTTATTTTGAGATAGGGTCTCCCTAAATTGTCCAGATTAGCCTTAAATTTGTAATCCTCCTGCCTCATCCTCTCAAATAGCTGGCATTACAGGTGTGCACCATTGTGTTCAGTTTTTTGCTTGCTAAAACCTCCCCTACAATCTTGAAAGGAAGTCTGAGATAGGTATTCATCCTGTTTGTGATCAGTCTTACTTTATAAAGTATACGACTACCTGTTGTTTTTTCATGGGTGACCACATAAAGTTGAAGAACTTCCTATCTATTTCTATCTTAATGAAGTTTTTCTTTCTTTTCTTTTTTTGGTACCAATAATGATTATTGGATTTTGCATTTTATGTATCTATTGAAATATTTCTGGTTTTTTTTTTTTTCATTTTACTTTTGCTATTATGATAAATTACCTTGATTGATTTTAAAATGTTATTCCATTCCTGAGATAAATCACACTTGGCTATGGCATACTGTCATTTTTTTATATTTTTAGTTAGACTTGATAAAATTTTAAGAGTTTTTACATGTGTATTTAAAAGATAAGATGTCATTTTCCTTTTTTTTTTTTTGTCTAATTGAATGAATTAGAAAATATTCAATCTTTTTCAATTTTCCATTAGTTTCTTAACTACAAATTCAGTTTATTTAATTGACATGGGGTAGTTTGGGCTGTTTCTTCTTCAGTGAGCTTTGCTAGTTGTGTCTTTTCAGGGATTTTTCCATTTCCTGTAAGTTGTTCTAGTTCTTTGTGTAGATGCCATTTGTTACTTTCCCTTTTAAATGTCAGTGCTTAAAAGATATTTTTTTAACTGTCATCTCACTTGCATTGTTTCAGACAGAAATCACTTGTCATCCTTATCTTTGTTCCTCTCTAGAGTATGTCTTCCCACACCCCCTCCACCCCCCATCCCTTGTTGCTTTTAAGATTTTCTCTTTAACACTGTTGTTAAACATATTGGTTACAATGTGCCTTGGTGTCGTTTTCCTTATATTTCTTGTGTAGGGGGAGTTCACTGGGCTCTTAGATTTGTGGATTTCTACTTTTCATCAATTTTGGAACCTTTTCAGCCATCAGCTTTTCACATTTGTTTATCTGCTTCTGTTCCTCCTTTGGGAACTATAATTACATAAATTACATATATGTTAACTGCTTAGAGTTGTCCCATAGCTCATCAGCAGCCTATTCTTTTTCTTCTTTAGTCTTTTATTTTTTCTTTGCTTCCTTTTGAATAAGTTCAAAAATTATTCTTTAAATTTACCAACCTTTTCTTCTACAGTGTTTAATATACCATTAGTATTCAGAGTATTTTTATTTCRTAAATTGTACTTTTTATCTCAGAAACGAAATCTCCTTAAATATTTTTTACACCGTTTATGGCCCTACTAATCCTTTTTATGTCCCACCTTTGCTCAAGTTTTCTGGACATATAGAAGAAGTTAAAATTGCTACTTTAATGTTCTTGTCTGTTAATTCTGTGTTCAGGGGCACTTAACTACTGAGCCACATTTCCAGCCCCTTTTTTATGGTTTTTATTTTGAGACATGATATCACCAAGTTGCTGAGGCTGCCTTTGAACTTGTGATCCTTCTGCTTCAGCCTCCTGAATAGTTGGAATTACAGTCTGCACCACTATGATCAGTACTGGCAATTTTTAGACTGGCATCATGAATTTTATCTTGTTGGGTACTGGTTAATTTTATATTTTCATAAATACATAATCTTGAACTTTTTTCTGGGATGCAGTCAAGTTACTTGGAAATAGTTTGGATTTTTCAAATTTTGCTCTTAAGATTTAGGRGGGACCAAATCAGCATTCCTCTGTAGATAATTGATCCTACCTCTAAAGCAAGACACTTTGAGAACTCTTCCTATTATATCATGAATTTTGAGGYTCTCATGGCTGGCTGGTAAGAAAAATCACTGTTCCTGGTCCTGTATGAACATGGTAGCTATTCCTTTAAATCATTTGATGTGATTATTTCCCTGGCCTCAACCAGTTTTCTTTACACACATGAATAATTAATACTCTACTGAATGCTATAGGGGAACCCTTTGCTGATTTCAGGAATTCTCTTTCTCTGCATCTCTTTTTCTGTTGATACTTGTGTTAGTCAGCTTTTCATTGTTGTGACCAAAATACTGAACAAGAATACCTTAAAGGAGGAAACATTTATAGCTCAAGGTTTCAGAGRTCTCAAATCATGGTCAGCCAGCTCCACTGTTCTGGACTTGAGGTGAGACAGAACATCATGGAGGAGGACAGCTTCTCAGTTCATAGCAGGCGATGGGGCCAGGAATGGACCCTTCCCAGGTCTGTCCCCAATGACTTACTTAACTTGCTCCAAGTAGGTTCCACCTCCCAGCAGTTCATTCAGCTATCAATGGATTGATATTAGCTTCCAGTGGATTGGGATTCYAGACACTAGTGGTTGAGCATAGACTTTCAGGAATCAATCAGAGCTAGATTTGAATCCCARTACTCTTATTACATGGGTGACCTTGGGCAAGATATTCTACCTACCCAAGCTCCAACTTTCCTCTTCATAAAGTGGGAAATTATAGTTTCACTACAAAGAGTTGTTATAAGACCACAATTAGATGGTGCTATATTGCTTACCTAAAATAATTCAGAGCCTCTTACAAGTTGAGTGTCTYTCATCCAAA